TTGAGGAGTGAATGGAGGATGGGATGGTAGACTGTAATCATGAAAAAATCGTATTCGGATATTCTGAATTGTAACTGCGAAGTGAAGTATAAGTAACCCCCCTTCCATCTCACAATGGATGAAAACTATAGCAGTTCAAGTCATCCTGACAGATATGCCTGGACTTGTTGGCATAATGGACTATCATGTGTTACTGGAATGTTATGCTCCTACCAATGCACTTGGAAAGAAGGATGGGACTAGTGAGAGAAACATGGAGGGGATGCCAGTTTTAGAGCTATAAAGAGTGGATCCCAAGAAAATTTCACCATTCTAAAGATTATCATAAAATAAACAGCTGGCCCTGTTTGCAAAATGACACGGGCATCCAAAAGCCCAACCGAGTGACTAAACTGGAGAGTTACTCAGGGGGATCCAGTATTTGGCAAAATAGTGGTTGCACTTTTTTCCAGTTCTTTAATTACAGTCTTTCTTGGAGTTCATTATTACGAATGTCAAGAGTGTTCATGCCACCACTTAAGGTTACCCTCAGTCCCAGAACTGGTGAAACTGACTGTGAGTCCTTCCAAATCAAAGGTTCCTGAGCATGAGAGGCAAGCTAGGGCATGTTTTCTGAAAGGGAGTCTTGTCTGGTCTTAAATTTTCCTGACGAAAAGGGAAGTGAAATCCCAGAGCACTCATTTCTGAAGAGTCATGTAGCAAGTGGGCCTATCAGAGAGGGGCAAACACAGGAGGAGACAGGGCATTTGTCTGTGGATCTGTTACTTTAGGCTGTGGGAGCTCTGATTTTCTAGTTAAACCCTTCAGGGTCAATGTCGCACTAGGCAGTGAAAACAAGCTTAGGAATGGAATTACTTTTAAGCACAAATACTTTACTCTTTCAAAGCACCAAAGAAGTACAGATCTGTGGAAAACAAACTTCCGAACACAATATCCTATCCATTTGTCTGATCTTACCACCTGTGTCTCCTGGAGTGGGTCTGAGTCCTTAGGCTGGCAACAGAATGGCCTTGCTTGCTTAGAGAAGCACCTCATATAAAACAGACGGTCTCTTCCCTCTTTCCTCATGCGTGCTGCAAGCTGAAGGAAGGTCCAGACTTCAGCCCCCACCCCTCAAGTTCTGAGTAGAGAGAGAGTCAATCAGTGGCCCTATCAGTAGAAAAAATTATTGTTCCAGTACTGAAGAGTGTCAGTCAGTCAGTGTTGATGGCCGTCATTGCTCTCTCAGCTTTTCAGATATAGTCTGTCCACTAGGTGTCAAGACTGTGTTAAAAAACAGATGCTCTAATTTAATCAAAGTTATATTCACAAATAGTGTCACAAAACAAAATGGGATTCCTAATGACTCAGACATCTCTCTAAGCTCTCTCACCAGTTATTATTACATTACATCCCCTCCTGTCCATCACAGCTGCAGCCCTCGCTTGATACCCAGCCCTTCTCTGAACGCTCTCTGGGTCAGCTCCGTTTCAGGTCTGAGCTGGCTTCACTGGGTCAGAGCCATGCACATTATGGAGTTGCAGGACACAAGAACCAGCTGGCTGCAGGGAAGTCAGACATCATACTGCCCTAAAGATGAGGGGTAAAGAAAGGGTGGTGTACTGATGTATTTGCATGCTCCTTACCCCTGACTCACTTGGCAGATACCACAACCTGAGGAAGGGAAATGCACAGGGACAAAGGCATCATAGCAGCTTAACATGGAAATACAGACAAACTCTTGCCGAGCGCAGCAGGGAATCAGGTCTACATGGGATGTAACCCTCCTGAAGCCTCAAGCATAGAAGCCCTGGTCAGAGTCAGGAAATTGAGATGGTCTGGGGATCAGTGTTCCCTCTAATTTTGTCCACCCCTGAGTGGAAAATTTTTTCTTATGTGCACCAATGTGGATATGATGTGCAACACGGAGGTCACGTGCGACACATCACCTTCATATTGGTGCACATAACATTCATGTTGTGGGGGTGGGGCCGAAGGGTTCTGAGTGTGTGAGGGGGTTCAGGGTTGGGGCAGAGGGTTGGAATACAGACATGTGAGGGCTCTGACTGAGGGTGTGGGCTTTAGGGTGAGGCTGGGGTTGAGAAGCTCAGGGCTGGGATAGAGGGTTGGGGTCCAAGGGCTCTGGCTGATAGTAGCAATGTTAGTAAATATATTTTTTGATAAACATGTAACTGCTGCATTTTTTTCAGTGGTTACATGTTTACATGCAGTGGGAGCAGGTGTCTCTATGTACTGTCTTCCACCTCCCTCCTCCCCTCCATGCTGCTGCTGCTTCTCTATAAGGTGGGGGGGTGGGCAGCTCTTTTCAGCTGGCTCCCCCAAGCACCGGCTCCCACCTCCCCTCCACACTGCAAGAAGGGAGGGCAGGCAGCTCCATGGGAGCCAGCATGTGTGTAGAACCAGCTTAAAAGCTGGCTCCCCATACCTATTGACTTCTGCCTGCCCTGCCGCCTGTGATACAGAGGCAGCAGAGCAGCAGGGGCTTGAGGGCTCAGCAGGAGCCTGTAGGTGCAGGAAACTGGCATGAAAGCTGGCTTCCTGTATGTACTGCCTCCTTCCTGGCCCCTCACCCTCCAAGCTGTTGCCTCTCTATCAGAGGCAGCATGGGGCAGCAGGCGGTTCTGTGGGAGCCAGTGCTTGTGGGGACCAGCTCCCACCTGCCCTCTTCCCTGCGCTGCTGCTTCTATGGGGGGCAGCAGAGGGTGGGGCAGGCAGCTTTCTGAGAACCAGTGCCCATGGGAAGCAGGCTTAAAAGCTGGCTCCCCATGGGCACTGGCTCATGCACCAAGGGGAGGTGGGGGCATGTAATGGTTAGGTTTAACTGATGAGTCCACGGTGTGGTGTATGAAGGCACGGACTCCGGCCGGTGCAAGCACGAAATCATTTTATTGAAAGATTACAACTACCTTTATACCCTTAAAAGTTTACAAACTGCTTTTTCCCAAACTGCTTTTTCCCAGTCACAAAAACAGCATTCTCGAAGGTCATTGACTTAGGCAGATGTTGTTATTGTTGGCTCAGGACTCTTGCTTGGTTTCGTCCTTGGGACACTCTGTCATGCGGCCAAAGCACTATGCTTGCTGATTCTCTACACACAGTTATCGGTTAATCATGCAAACAACTACACACTAACATCACTAGCTGGGAGTGCAAGTCTTGGGCTAGAAATGAGGGGTTTGGGGTGGTAGAGAGGGGCTTCAGGTTTAGGGAGGGACTCTGAGATGGGGATTGAAGTGCAGGAAGGGGTACAGGTTCTGGGCTGTAGACTTTGGGGTAGAGCCAGGGCTGATGCCTTTAGGTCCAGGAGGGTGCTCAGAGCTGGCGGGCGGATGGCTGAAGGTGGGGCAGAGGTTCGGGTCTTGGGCTTACCTGGGAAGCTCTGTGCTGGGGCCAGTGGAGAGGGGCTTCCCTTTGCCGACTGCAGCAGTTCAGTGCTGTGGCCAGTGAAGAGGAGCTCCCCTTTGCTGGCCGCAGCAGCTTAGTGCTGGGGCCAACAGGGCGGGGCTCCTTTCTGCCAGCTGTAGCAGTTTCAGTGCTTTGGAAAGAGATCTCTCCCCGCTACAGCCCTGAGTCCCTATGCACAGCTTAATGGGAAGCTACTCGGCCACACAGCTTAGGGAGAACTATGCTGGGGATGTACATTCCACCATTCATGTTATTAGTGGTTCTCAATCCTGCTGGAAAGGTATAACAAGTGGGGTTCTGCATGGAGTCTGTTTTGGGACCGGCTCTGTTCAATATCTTCATCAACGATTTAGATATTGACATAGAAAGTATGCTTATTAAGTCTGCAGATGATACCAAGCTGGGAGGGGTTGTGACTGCTTTGGAGGATAGGGTCATAATTCAAAATGATCTGGACAAATTGTAGAAATGGTCTGAGGCAAACAGGATGAAGTTTAATAAAGACAAATGCAAAGTGCTCCACTTAGGAAGGAACAATCAGTTTCACGCATACAGAATGGGAACGCATACAGAATGGGAAGCGACTGTCTAGGAAGGAGTATGGCAGAAAGGGATCTAGGAGTTATAGTGGGCCACCAGCTAAATATGAGTCAACAGTGCAATGCGTGTTGCAAAAAAAGCAAACATGATTCTGGGACACATTAGCAGGTGTGTTGTGAGCAAGACACGAGAAGTCATTCTTCTGCTCTACTCTGCGCTAGTTAGGCCTTAGTTGGAGTATTGTGTCCAGTTCTGGGCACCGCATTTCAAGAAAGATGTGGAGAAATTGGAGAGGGACCAGAGAAGAGCAACAAGAATGATTAAAGGTCTAGAGAACTTGACCTAGGAAGGAAGGCTGAAAGAATTGGGTTTGTTTAGAAGAGAAGATTGAGGGGGGACATGATAGCAGTTTTCAGGTATCTAAAAGGGTGTCATGAGGAGGAGGGAGAAAACTTGTTCGTCTTGGCCCCTGAGGGTAGAACAAGAAGCAATGGGCTTAAACTGCAGCAAGTGAGGTTGAGGTTGGACATGAGGAAAAAGTTCCTAACTGTCAGGGTGCTCTAACACTGGAATAAATTGCCCAGGGAGGTTGTGGAATCTCCATCTCTGGAGATATTTAAGAGTAGGTTAGATAAATGTCTATCAGGGATGGTCTAGTCAGTACTTGGTCCTGCCATGAGGGCAGGGGCCTGGACTCGATGACTTCTCAAGGTCCTTTCCAGTCCTAGTATTCTATGATTCACCTTTCTCTTGTGCCCACGCAGTGTGACACCTGACATTGAACAATGGGAAGACCCAGGAAAAACCCTGACAGCACAGCCTCACCTCGCCAGGCTGCAACTGTGCCTAAAGCCACCCCAGCAGCACCCCATTCCTCTGCCTCCTCTACCCAGACCAAGAGGACACCCACAGCCAGCCGACCTAAGAGTGCTCAGCCTTCTGGGAGCACAGACACCAGCAGGGCACAGCCAGACAAGCCAGCCAGCAGCACCACTGCCAGAGGAACAAGGCAAACAAGAGTCACTGCAGCACATGGCAGTGATCAAGGAGACACCAAGATAAGCTACAGAGCAACAGTTAAGAACCCCTCAGTGACAAGTAGTGGGCAACCACGTTCCACAGCAGTTAAAACACCTGCCAGGGCTGACCCCTACCTGGGAGGGAGTCAGTCCAGCTACTCTCAGGCCAATACCACTGCCAAGGGCAAAACAAGCAAATTCTCCTCCCTTCTGACAAGTGAAGATGTGGCGAAGGTGGAAAGAGAAACCCGGGGTCAGAGGGATAATCCCAAGTGGCATGAGTGGCGGGAAAACCGTATCACAGCTTCAGTCGCACCCAGGATTGCGAACAGCAAGTTTGTCAACGGCAAGAGCTCAGAGGTGCCCCAGTCTTACCTCAAGGCCGTGGTGAGTTCTGGTTCCAATGTGCAGACACCTGCCATGTCCTGGGGCACCAGAAATGAGAAGAAGGCAGTGAAGGCATATGAGGAGCTCCAGTCGAGGAAGGCGGGTAGGGCTGTGAAGGTGGAGGAGTGTGGCCTCTTCATTCACCAAGGGAAGGAGTGGCTTGCAGCCAGCCCAGATGGAATTGTCAGAGAAGCAGACACAGGGAAGCCACTGGGACTACTGGAGGTCAAGTGTCCCTACAAGCACAAAGACAAGACAGTGAAAGAGGCCTGTAAGGACAAAGCCTTCTGCCTGGAAGTGCATGGCGAGTCCTACTCCTTGAAGAAAGATCATCCCTACTACACTCAAGTTCAGTGCCAAATGGCAACAACAGGCTTTGAGAAGGCTGATTTTGTGGTTCACACCAACAAAGATACAGTCATCACTTCAGTGGACTTTGATGCAGAGTTCTGGGGGAAAACTGAGCCCAAGCTGGAGAAGTTCTACACAGAGGCTGTGATTCCCCACCTGGAAGAGAAGAGAAGCGACTCAGTTTGGGCTAAGGAAGAATAAAGTAATGGGAACATCTGGCCACTTCCCCACCATGATTTCTGTCTCCCCTAGATGCTATGATAGATGTTTAATGAGCTATCTCTGGTTCTGCCCTAGCAGAACTACAGGAACCAGAATATGCCTGCTGTGGCATGGTTTACATCTAAAAATTAGATCTAACTAGCTAGTTTTGTGCCTTATGTAGTTATGTCTTCTAATGAGCTAGTTAATGCTCAATGCAGGAAGCATCTCCAGTACAGCAGTAGCAGCTGTAATATAGATATTGCTTGAAACTGGACTCTTCCTTCCTATTTAGATTGTAAGCTCCATGGGGCAAGGATTGTATCTGCCATTGTCTCCTAGAGGAGTGGAGACACGGAATGATTTGATGGTTCTGTTCCAGTCCTTAGCTTTTAGTGCTCTGGGACCAAATTGATACCGTTTTTGTGCAGACAGATTCACTATTCTATCTATTACTGTCCTCTCTGAACATGTTCCAGTGCTGGCAGCTGCTGCAAATTATCCTGTCTCTGGGGAATTAAGCGGATCTGTCTGTGAAATGGTCTAGTTCAGGGTTTACAGATAGAAGGTGGGTGAAGTAATCTCACCCATTTTGCATCTCTCTCATTTTAGGACCAACATAGTTAAAATAAAACTGTATAGCTCAAGGTTGTTGGGGAAGGCAAAGCTAGATTCCAGTTAATGATCTGGGCTGTAAATTCAGAACCAAACTTGAATTTTAGTTCACCAGTCCTTGCTGCTGTCAGTGGCAAGTTTGCCAAAGATCAAACAAAAAGTATGGGGTAGCTGAACTTGTAATTTATGGGCCCTATTGTCAGTTCAGCATCGCACAAAGGGAAAATGTGTTCTGCTTTAGATGGGCTGTTGTTTCTTCTCTTGCCCTTTCTGTATCTTCCCTCACAATTTCTTTCCCATAGCCTGTTAAAACAATTAATTCATTAACTGCTTACATTTAAAATGTTTGCAGATTTGGAGTCCACCTCTCACCCATGAAAATGTGAATCATAAGCACAGATGTGTGACTGATGTGGTTCATCCTGCCCACCCCATTCCAATGCCTGTCCTTTTTGCAGCCTATTGAGAGACCCTGGTGCATGCATACCGTGACTGTCCCACATTGCAGACACTTTTCCCCCTCCTCCTACTTTTATGCTTTTGGCTGCACTTCTGCCCTCGACTTACCATTTACACTCACCCCACCCATGGCCCCACAAAATGGCCATCTAGAACACCATGGAGAGAGAGTTGGCTGAGGGAGTATTCTGCGGCTGTGGGGCCTACTTCCTTTACACACTCTGTTCACTTGTCCTGGCATAGTTCCTCTGGACAGCATCCACTGGTTCCCTCAGCACCGTCGATGAACAGTGGGCACTGTCCGGAGTTTTCTGTTCGGTGTCTCCTTCAAGTTCCCTCTTTTTGACCTTCACAGCAGACCCTGCTTTTTAATTTGTTGTCCCCCATATTTATTTAAGTCACCAGCTTAGTGGTTTGTCACCCATAGGCTGAGGGGAAGGGCCTTCAACTGTCCGCTCACTTCCCCGGAACCCAATAGAACCCCCTAAGAATATGAAGGGATTACATCTCAGAGCTACTATTTCAGGCTTTCTGCAGATGCAGAAAGATAACTGTTTTTCAGATGTGAACCAATTATACTTACACAGCCACGAGATCCCCAGAGACACTTTAAATGAAAGCTAATTTTTTCAATAGCTAACTCTGCCATGTATGTCCCAGTAGTATGTAGAGCAGCCTATGTCTTTGAAATTACTTTTGATTAATCCAAATTGCTCCTGTTTTGGAAAGAAAAGTACCCAAATAAAATATTCATATTTGGTGATTCTCTTGTGATTTGTGAAGGAATCCAGTTGTGCATCTATAACTAACATAAGAACAGCCATATCGGGTCAGACCAAAGGTCCATCTAGCCCAGTATCCTATCTGCTGACAGTGGCCACTACCAGAGGGAGGGATCACAATAGGTAATCCTCAGATGATCCCTCCACTGTCACCCACCTCCAGAGAAACAGAGACTAGGGACACCATTCCTACCCATTCTGGCTAATTGCCATTGATGGACCTAACCTCCAGGAATCTATCTAGCTCTTTTCTGAACCCTGTTAAAGTTTTAGCCTTCTCCACATCTTCTGGCAAAGAGTTCCACAGGTTGACTGTGCGCTGACTGAAGAAAAACTTCCTTTTGTTTTTTTTAAAACCTGCTGCCTATTAATTTCATTTGGTGATCCCTAGTTCTTATATTGTGGGAACAAGTACATAACTTTTCCTTACTCACCTTTTTCATACCAGTCATGATTTTATAAACCTCTATCATATCCTCCCCCCCCTTTAGTCTCCTCTTTGCGAAATTGAAAAGTCCAAGTCCTTTTAATCTCTCTTCAAATAGCACCTGCACCAAACCCATAATTTTTGTTGTCCTTTTCTGAACCTTTTCCAATGCCAATATATCTTTTTTGAGATGAGGCGGCCACATCTGTACGTAGTATTCAAGATGTGAGCATCCCATGTTTTTATATAGAGGCAATAAGATATTTTCTGTCTTATTCTTTATCCCCTTTTTAATGACTCGTAACATTCTATTTGCTTTTTGACTGCTGCTGCACACTGAATGGATGTTTTCAGAGAACTATCCACAAAGACTCCAAGTCCTGTCTCTTGAGTAGCTGTAGCCAAATTAGGCCCCATCATATTGTGTATATATAGTTGGGATTATTTTTCCAGTGTGCATTACTTTACATTTATCAACATTAAATTTCATTTGCCATTTTGTTGCCCAATTACTTGGTTTGGTGAGATTGTTTTAAAGCTCTTCACAGTCTGCTTTGGTCTTAACTATCTTGAGCAGTTCAGTATCATCTGCAAATTTTGCCATCTTGCTGTTTTCCCTTTTCTCCAGATAATTTATAAATACGTTGAATAGGATGGGTCCCAGGACAGACCCTTGGGGGACCCCACTAGTGTTACCTCTCTCCACTCTGAAAACTTCCCATTTATTCCTACTCTTTGTTTCCTGTCTTTTAACCAGTTACCAATCTACGAAAGGACCTTCTCTCTTATCCCATGACAACTTACTTTACTTAAGAACCTTTGGTAAGGGATCTTGTCAAAGGCCTTCTGGTAATCTAAGTATACTATATTCACTTGATCCCCCTTATCCACATGTTTGTTGACCCCCTCAAAGAATTCTAGCAGATTAGTAAGGTATGATTTCCTTTTACAGAAACCATGTCGACTTTCTCCCAACAAATTATATTCATCCATGTGTTGGGCAATTTTATTCTTTACTATAGTTTCAGCTAATTTGCCTGGTACTGACGTCAGACTTACGGGTCCGTAATTGCCAGGATCACCTCTAGAGCCTTTTTAAGTATTGGCGCGATGTTAGCAATCTTCCAGTCATTATGTATGGAAGCTGATAGTTCCGCAATTTCCCATTTGAGTTCTTTCAATGCCATCTGGTCCTGGTGACTTGTTACTGTTAAGGTTATCAGTTTGTTCCAAAACCTCCTCTAATGACACCTCAATCTGGGACAATTCCTCAGATTTGTCAATTAAAAAGAATGGCTCAGGTTTGGGAATCTCCCCAAAGCAAATAATTCAGTTTTTCCGCTATGACTTTATCATCTTTGATTGCTCCGTTAGCATCTCGATTGCCCAATGGCTCCACTGATTGGTTAGCTGGCTTCCTGCTTCTGATATAATAAAATGTTTTTTAAGTACTACTTTTTGAGTTTGTGGCTAGCTGTTCTTCAAACTCCTTTTTGGCTTTTCTTATTATATTTTTACACTTATTTTTACAAAATTTATGGTCCTTTCTATTTTCCTCACTAGGATTTGACTTCCACTTTTTAAAAGATGTCTTTTTATGTCACTGCTTCTTTTACCTGGTTAAGCCACAGTGGCACTTTTTTGGTTCTCTTACTGGGTTTAATTTGGGATATACATTTAAGTTGGGCCTCTATTATGGTGTCTTTGAAAAGTTTCCATGCAGCTTGCAGAGATTTTACTTTTGTTGCTGTACTTTTTAATTTCTCTTTAACTTCCTCATTTTTGTGTAGTTCCCCTTTCTGAAATTAAATGCCATAGTGTTGGGCTGCTGAGGTGTTTTTTCCCACCACAGGGATGTTAAATTTTATTACATTATGGTCACTTATTTCCAAGCAGTCCAGTCATATTTACTTCTTGAACCAGATCCTGCGCTCCACTTAGGACTAAATCAAGAATAGCCTCTCCACTTGTGGGTTCCAGAACCAGCTGCTCCAAAAAACAGTCATTTAAGGTATCAAGAAACTCAGGGGAGTGGCTAGGGCACTGCAGTGGGGGGGACTTGTTGCCGGCAGCGGGTGTCTGCTCTCACACATAAGAACAGAATCCCCATTTTGAGCTGCTTGCATTAACATACGTGCCTTATAACAGGTTAGCTCTGTCCTTTCATGTTGAAGCTCCAACACTTAGTGTCAGGCCAGCCAGCATCACCTTTTCCAACTCTTGATCCAAGATAAGCTTTTTTGCAAACAATTTTTTGTTCTTGGTGTGCTGAAGTCAAGCTATATAGAAGTTGCTGGAAAAGACAGAGCAATTCAAGAGTAAACTGTCTTATCTCCTTGTGGTTGGTATCCCCACTCTTTCTGTCATCTAGAAATGCCTGGGAATCAGAGAAGTGGGATGAGGCTCATGGGCAGGGGGCCTGTTCCAGCCTAGTGGGGCCTGCAACAGGCAGGGGATTCTTCTACCTAGCTAGATGCAAGGAATCAGAACATAAGTGCTACTACATAACTAATCTGCAGTTATCAGTGTTCCCTGTAACCTGTGCACTTGTGCAGCTACTCCAGAGATTCCAGTGCTGCCCAGCTAATTAGCAGAACCCCCCCCCCCAGTTAGATTGTGTTTCCACTTGTGGTGCACATTTGTACATGCCTTGGTGCACATAAACATTTTATTCTGCACATGGGAAGAAAAAATGCACATGGATGGAAAATGAGGGAACATTAGCCACATCCATACCTGCTGATGTGGATATCTGCAGCTCCTTTTTGCAAATGCAGATATAAATTTTGTATTTAGAAACTCTTCAAATCTGCAGATAGCCGCAGGTATCCACAATTTTTGCAGATGAACAAAGGGCTAGCTAAAATGGTAAAAGTTTTCTCTCAAGACAATTAAATTGCTTCTTAAGGAACTCTGGGATCTTAGAGAGCAGCCTCCAGCACCCACATCTTTCAATACAAAAGGATATGAAAGCACTGGAGCCAAGCCCAGCCGGCAGGAGAGCTTTTATCTGAGTGACTAGAGATAGATCAGATGGGTACAGGCTGCCATTTATTTCAGGCAGTCTGTGCTAGCACTCTAAGCTCAGGGAGAACTCATGGTTGTGAACCTGAGTGAACACCAGGGCTACGTCTAGACTGGCATGATTTTCTGCAAATGCTTTTAACGGAAAAGTTTCCGTTAAAAGCATTTGCGGAAAAGAGCATCTAGATTGGTGTCGTGAGAATCACAGGTCCGATGATAAATACCCAAGGGGGAAAGGACAGAACCAGGTGGATAGTTTTATCAAATAAAAAATATTTATTTATGACAATGGTGAATTTATAGTATTTATTCTAAGATTTTTAATAGACTGTGTTAATAATGGATTTACAGTATTTATTATATTTATTCTACGGTTTCTAGTATAATGTGTCAGAGATAAGGATGGGAATGGCAAGGGGAATAGTCTCTAATCTTAAAATATCCAACTACAGTAATTAATAACAGTGATAACTACAAACTCTTATGTACTACCCAAAAACAACTACAACACTAAGCTTATACAACAGGAAAAAATCAAATCATACATACCAACTTACACATCACACGGAACATTTCACAGATATCGGTTCGGTTGCGAAGGCCTTGGTTATGCCTGAGAGTCGGGGGAGGTGGCTGGTCGGTTGATCAGGCCGGCAGCACTTTGAAGTATACGAGAAGGCACATGAACTGTGCAATGGGTATTTATCCCCAAATCTGCACATCGCTTTCCCGCACTTGCATATTACCATATATAGCCCAATGGTCACCAAATGGGGGGGGGGGGTCTGTCGGTTGCGAAGGCCTTGGTTATGCCTGAGAGTCGGGGGAGGTGGCTGGTCGGTTGATCAGGCCGGCAGCACTTTGAAGTATACGAGAAGGCACATGAACTGTGCAATGGGTATTTATCCCCAAATCTGCACATCGCTTTCCCGCACTTGCATATTACCATATATAGCCCAATGGTCACCAAATGGGGGGGGGGGGTCTGTTCCCAGGGGTAGGGCCGAAACTGTGCAGGTTTCATGCGACCAGGTAAGCCCCGCAGTTCTCACGCCAAGGTGACGGGTGGGAGAGTCTGAGGCTATTTTCCCCTCTTCACACCTTTCCTTTTTTCTAAAGGCAATAGTATGCAGGAAGGGTGCGGCCGGTTTCTCTCAAGGAGTAATGCAGCCCACAATAACAAGAGGGGCCTGGCCAAACTTTTTTACTGGGGGGGCGG